CTTTAAATTGGGGTGGCATCTCTGCATTTAATTTTAGATAGAAGTTTCTTCCAGTAATTAGGCTAGTTACTTTGGAGTTTTTTGGAAATACCTACAGCTTCATGTGATAATGAATTCTGCAGCTTAGTTCATGTGTGTAAAAGTAGTTCTTTTTTGCTTTGCTATCTGCCACTTTGATTTGGTGCCCCCTCGTTCTTTCACTGGAGGGAGCAGTGAACAGTTATTCTCTAGTTTTTTTCCATGGCACTTCTGACTTTATAGGCCTGTGTTACATTGCCTCATTTGTCCCTTGTCCAGGTTAAAGGTGTAGGTTCTGAAAAACTCCTAACACTGCTTTTGTTGCCAGTAAGCATAGGGCATTTACAGTTCTTTGTTACAAGGCTGGGCATCTGGCTTCTCAGCAATAATAGTCAGTTTGGGATGGCTTTGAGTTGGCATTTCCACACACATGGAAGTGACTTCACTGTTTTGTGTGCATGCAAAAATAGAGTGCTCTCCTCCTCCACTCCTCTTTAAATACCTAGTACACATTAACCTAGCGTACTGCAAAATACATTGAATTCTACAATGATTGCTCTGAACCCATGGCTGATAAACAACTGTTTTACAGTCCTTTAACTTAAATTAAAAAAAAGCCAAAGGTATTAATGGAATGTGAACTAAACTAGCTTCTGCTGCTTCTCTTGTGCCTTTCTCTTACAACATCAGCTCTGGAGTGTTTGATTTGGCGGGGGATGTACCTGTGCCTGGCGGGAGGGTGACATTGACTGGAAAGAGGAAAAAGCAGTGGCTGGTATTGGAAATGACATAAAACCATAGATACTTTGCAAAAATAAGCAATCCAATACCCTTTGTTTCACTGGCACTGTTGCTACAGCACAGTTGTGCTAGGGAGAGCAGTTCAGGAAGATGTTTCAAGACCTTAAGTCTTACATGTAAAATTTGACACCAAAAGAATTCCTGGAGGAGCCCCATTCCTCTTCATTGCTAGGCTTGTTCTCTGCCTGTGACTATCTGGACAAATATTTAGCAGAGTGCAGGTGATTTCAACCTCAAAAGCTCTGAAATATATGGTGTCAAGTAGGAGTGGATTCCTTGTCCATCTTGCAGAATTGGAAGAATCAAAAATTAGTGAAAAACTAATTACTTTGGGGTTTGGATTCAGGGAAAACAAAGTCTTTCAAAATCTCAAGAAAGAAACATCAACTAGTCCGTGGATAGAGTTGTAAGGATCAGGATAATTAACCATATGACATAATCCTTGTGTCTGCTCAAGCAGGGTCACCTTAAGATGGTTGCCCAGGACCATGCCCAGATGTCTTCTGAGTATCTCCAAGGATGGACACTCCACAACCTTCCTGAGCAACCTGCGACAGTGCTCGGTCACCCTCATAGTGAAAAAGTGTTTCCTGATCTTCAGAGGAACCACCTGTGTTTCAGTTTGTGCCCACTGCTTCTAGTCCTGTGAACCGTAATCACTGGATTTGCAAACACTTTCTTTGCTGCTTTGCTTTTCCTGACTTAGAAGTAGTGAAGTGTTATAAGACTTAGCAGGGTCAAAATTAAAGCCTTAGAAATAGTTTAAATGCATGGGGGAATAACCTTGATTTTGCTATAATTAGTGCTACTCCTGCCTTTTGGAAAAGAGAAGATGCACAAAAAAATGTAACTGGAAAGAATGTTAAAAGAAAATATTACCATTACTGAAATTTAGTCTGTCTTTGAAATCCTGTTACAATTTTAGACTGTAAGTCACTTTTTCTAATGGAAGAACTCTCAAATCTGCATCTTAATGTATAAGACTAAACCATTCAGTTATATCTGGAAAGGCTTCTCATGAAGAAAATTTCATATATCTGATTCATGTCTCTCTTTTTTGACTTGTATTTTGTTTTTAATAGGCACAGACCTTTTATTTTGTAACTTAACCCATCTTTTAATACAGAGCCTCTGACTGATAGAATGAACAAATTAAACAGACTTTAATTAAACAGATATTTCCCCAAGTAGTCTTATTTTGCCAAGGATCTCACAGGGTAAATAGGCCTGTGGCCAGCTGTACACTGCATGGAATAAACTGCAGACTGCGGTCCTTTCCTGAAGATAGACACCCTTATAATATACAGATAAATTTATAACTTGGCAGCCTTACCAGGGGAGGCTGAGGGCTATGAATGGGTTGGAAAATGTATTGCTGAGAAACCCCATGAGTGGCTGAAGCTTTGTTTAGGGTATAATTCTTTACATAAGTAGCTCAAAAGCAAAAACTAGACCTTTATAGTGAAATTAAATTTACTTTTCACTGTTTTATCCATGAAACTCTGGTCCTGTTATTATCACTGTTTTACTCATGTTTTACTGTGGATGTGTTGGGGAGGCTCAGGTGTTCAGCTGTGGCTTCAGTGGGGCTCTATGGTGGTTACAGTTGGACTAGAAACATGCAGGTGTTTCATATTTCAGGAAAATTTAGGAATTAACACAACTTTTCATTATGTTGGGAAGTTGCCAAACTTTCAGGTACATGCAGTGAAACTCCTTGTGTAAATTTAAGTCACCAGGTAAGTGCCTGCAAGTGATCTCAGCAGGGTTTTTTTTTTTTTTTTTCAAAAGATGTTCTACATGATTGAAAAAGGAAAGAAAACTCATGATTTTATGGATCTTCCTGGCATACCACTCTTGCCTTTGTTCTACTGATATTAGGGCTAATAATTGAGCTATGTTTAGAGGAACTGCGTGTCAGACTCTTCGCTTCCTCCTTGCTACATAAAATTTCAAAGGATCAAATAGCTGCAACTAACTCTGGGTCAGCTGTGATTTTAAATATGGGTGCAAATCTGTTCACTGCATTTATCCTATTCTTTGTTGGTTTTACTTCCATTTTTTTGGAGGAAAAGGAAACTGCACTAGAAGTTTTCCCTCTAAAAACAGGCCTGAAAGTGGGAATTACTTAGGAGTTTGCCATCTGTAATTAGTCAGATCCACTGACTGAGAATTTGGATGAAACATTTTTCACTCTCTTCATTAGTTCTAGAGAACAAATCCATTTATGAAATTTAGTATTACTCTGGCTCACATCTGTATTGTAAACACCTTACTGAAACACCTTCTGTAAACATGAAAATGACATGTTTTGGTGAAAATACTGCACTGAAAAATGATCTTCAAATTTGTTTTTAAGTATGTTACTCTCATTGCGCAGCTGATAGCTGTATTTTTGGAGAAAGTTATAAAAAGGTGCAAAATAATAATGTTTTGGTATATTATTAAAAATACAAGTTTTCACTTAAAATAGCTTTTGCTGAAATTGTTTTCAAAAATTTTCATTTCTGAAATTTTTTTAAACGTGGAGAGAAGTCTGAATAATTTTTAATGACACTCCCAAACTATAAATTAGCTGGAATATTTGATAGTGTACTGTCAAATGCATTGTATTTGTCGCCATTTCAGACTAACCTGTGGAGTGGTTCTGTTTTCAATGAAGTCTTAATGCCTCAAGTAATTGAAGAGATTTTCCTTGTCTTGCTGAATACCAGTTGTGTGTTTCACATACACACCAGCATGTGACTGTGAACTAAGCCTGCCATTGTGCAGGTTTTAAGTGTTTGTAAAACACTGGAGATGAAACTGAAGGCATTTGGCTGGGCTAAGGGGCAGCAGTAACTGGTCAGCTTGTTGCCGAGTTGCCTTTGAGGAAGTGAGTAATACTGTGTGCCTTCCTGCCTCCACTTCCCTGCCTTTATCTGGAGTTATAGGTCTGGCAACGCTTAGTAGCTTGGTTTCCAAGTTTCTCCTGAGGTGTGCCAGTGAGATGTGTTAGGAACCAGAACGCAGAAGTGTGCAACAAGAACACCCACCACCTAAGGGACCTGCATCTGGCAGCGTTGTAAGGTTTGACCCGCTGGGGCCATGACGAGAAAGATAAATCGTGAACGAATGGACGTCCTAAGGCTGGCTGTGGGGCAAAGGCCTCACTTCTCCGGTCACGCTGTGGAATTTCAGCCGAGCTGCCTGACGCCCAAACCCCTGCGGCTGCTCGCTCCTTCCCCCCCCGCCGCCGACCACCTCCCGGGGCCGTTTAACGCCGCCGCCTCAGCGGTTTCGCAGCGCAGCGCCTGAGGGAAACTCCCGTTCCCCTCAGAAAAACGCTCCCTCCGCACGGCAGTTGGGGCGGGGCGGGGCGGAGACCCTGCCTGAGGGGGGAGAGCGCCGGGCGCCCCTCAGGGAAACGGGTGAGGCACCTCCCGTCACCGCAGCGGGAACGCCGAGCGCGGCCGCGGCGGGAGCGGAGCGCTGCCGGGCTCTCGGCTGGCCGGCAGCCACACAAAGCGCCGCTCTTTCCCCTCCCTTTGTCTGCGTGGCTTTGTCTCCGCCGTCGCCGTTCCCCTCCGCCCGCCGCAGGCCGGGACTCCCCGCCTCCGGACGCCGCGGTCCCCTTTGTGCCACCTGCGCGCCGTGGGAACGGCCGCTCGCCCAATCCCCGACCGACCCGGCGAGCCGTTCCGCCGGGCGCCTTTTTTTTTTTTTTTTTTTTTTTTTTATTTTCGCGTGGAGGGCCCGCACAGGTGAAAAAGGGGCGGCGCGGAAGGCGCCGGGGAAGGGGGCGGGGGGGGGGGGGAGGCCGGGCGCGCCCCGCAACGCGCCGTGTCCCCGCGGGGAACGGTCCCGCCGCCGCCTCCCCCCTTCCCCTCCCCGCTCGGCAGCGCGCCGCCTGCGCGAGCGCCGCGCGCCCCTGCGGCTCCGCCCGGGCGGGGCGGGGCGGGGAGGAGGGCGGCGCGCGCCGCTCCGCATGGAAGGCTAGAGCGCGTGGAGAAGGGAGGGGGGGGGGGGGGGGGGGGGGGGGAGACCGCGCGCGCGCGCGCGGGCAGCCCCAGCGGGCGGGGCGAGGCGATAACCCTTGCGGAGCTGCCTGGGAGACCCCGGGTTTTGGGGCTGCGCCAGCGCGCGCGGCGCCTCCTCCTCTCTTCCCCCCCCCCCCCCTCCCGCCCCCCCCTTTCCATCCCTCCCTCCCTCCCTCCCCCCCCGCGCCGAGTGGAAGGGGCTGGGGTTGGTGCCAGCAGCGGCGTGAGCGCTCGAGCGGCCGCCATTTTACGCCAGCTCCAGCACACTGTCCGGACACACCGAGGGAGCGGAGAAGGGGGGCAGCTCCTCAGCACGCCGAGCCGCCAGCCGCGCCCCGAGCCCCTTCGCACGGCGTTTCACCCCGGCAAGCGACAGGTCAGGCGCTGGGCGGCGGCGGGCGGGCGGGCGGGCAAGGCCGGCGGGGTTCGGGTTCGCGGCGACTCGGAGCGGCGGCAGCTCGCCCGCGGAGCGGGGTGGGAGCGGGCCGGGGCCGGGCGGCAGAGGAGGTTGAGGCGGCGGAGGGTAAGCGGCGGGCGGGGCGGGAGGGCGCACGCCGGGGCTCTGCAGCGCTGTCGGGCCGGGGCCCGGCTGCCAGGCGCTGCGCGATGGGTGGAGGAGCTGGCTGCCTTCGTGGCCGCTGCTGTCGGGCGGGGGGCGGCCGGGCTGGGCCGGTGCCCGAGCGCTAGGCCCGGCAGCTGGCCGGCGCTGGGGAGGAGGCGGCGGCGGCCGTGAGGGAGGGTGGGGGGGGGGGGGACCGGGGCCGTCCCCACGCGGGGCGCGTGGCTCTCGCCTCATTGTCCTGCCGGCTCCGCCGCTCCATTCATTGCCCGTGAGGGGCTGGGCCGGGGGGAGCCGCGACCTCGATGCCCGGCGTGTGCGTGGGGAGAGGAGGAGACGGCGGACGGGGGGGGTGGTGGGGGGGGCTGCCCGCTCGGATCTCGCGTGCCCCCGGTCACGTCGTGAGGCGGTGGGCGGCGGGCAGCGGCGATTCCCGGCCGGGAGTCGGGGCTGGCGGCGGGCCCCTGCATTGTTTCGGGGAGAAGTGTGGCGGGGGGTGAGGGGTGGCGGCGAGGCCGAGAAGGCGCCGCGATCTCCCGGCCGTGTGGTGAAATCGGGCCCGGGGTGTTGCAACCGCTCTCCGGGGGGAATAGGGTGAGAGGTGGGGAATGGCTGGGGCTTGGGGTGGGGGGGAGCCGCTCCTCCTGCGGGAGTGTGGCGGGGAGGGGTGTGTGTGTGAGGGGGGGGGGGGGGGGGAAGTCGGTCACTGGAGGAAGTTGTAGGACATCTGAACGCGCAGAGCACGTGTTTCCATCGGGCTCATGGCGGCGGCCGCTGCTGCCGCCGCCGTGGGTGGGTGCGGACTGGGAAGAGCGCTTTGTTCCTCTCGCTGGCCCGGCCGACACCGGAGTGGAGGCGGGAAGGGATCCCGGCCGCGCCTGGGGCCTTGGAGAGGCGGTTCGCTCCGGGGGGCAGCGAGTTTGCGGCGGGAGGTGGAGGCAGCAGCGGGTGTCAGTGACGGTATCGCGGTAGCGGCGGCTGCATGTGGCAGGTTTGCTCTTCCTCCCACCCCCGCCATTGGCTTCTTGCTCCATTTCTAACTTGTTCAGAGCCTCTTAGGGAGTGTGTTAGAGACACAGAGAGAGGGAGGTGAGTCAGAGTGTCTGGCTGGGTTGTGTAAAACCTGCAGTGAAAGCTACCCCACCCCCGCTAGGCAGTAGTGTTAGGGCTTTCCTTTGTGTTAGTGATTCTTTTGAGGAATTTTGTGCGTCTTCCAAACCCGGAAAGTATCAGGGAAGTGGTCTATGATACCTGTTTGTTGTTTTTTGTTTTTTTTTTTTTTTTTTTTTTTTAGGAATAGGGCAGTGTGTCGCATGTATTGTCAATTGAATTGTTATACTTTAAGATATTTTTAGCTTAATTATGATGCTTATTGCATTTGAACAGATATCTGGAAAGAAACATGGCTACTGAACATGTTAATGGAAATGGTACTGAAGAGCCCATGGATACTTCTGCTGCAGTTACCCATTCTGAGCATTTCCAGACATTGCTTGATGCTGGTTTACCACAGAAAGTTGCTGAAAAACTAGATGAAATTTACGTTGCAGGTAAGATGTAAAACTTGCAAAACCACACATACAATATATTATTGGATTCTGCTGTCTTTGGGCTAAAATAGCAACTTTTTGTGGTTTCCAAAAGTATGGGAACTGCAGTCTTACCAAAATTTATGGATGTTTTCCATTCAGTGCTTTAATATGTCATAGTGTTTTTCAGAGAAGAGTCTTGGGCCATGCCCCTTGGGCTGAGGGGTGGGAAGGAGAATTATGCAGGTGATCATAGCAACAGCTGGAATAGGCAACAGACGATTTTTATGAGCAGTAGATGATGTGGACTTTGTGCATTTTTTTTTTTACAGTAGTTGTAGGTAACTAAGTCACTGAAGCCTTAGTATACATCTTCTCATCTAAACAATACGTTGTAACATGGTATTTGGGCTCATGGATGCAAAGGTTTTTGTATTGGTTCACTCAGGCATGGTAATAGCTAGCACTTTTTAAGCTTGATTTTTGGATTGTGGTGGTCACTTTCAGTGCTGCACTTTATTTGTCTTTATAGTCTTCTCAGAATGTACCAAGGTACCATTGTTAGGCAAGCTAAGTCAGGTTTTGATAGATTCTTTTGAACTCAACTTCAGGATATTGAAAATAAACCTGGCCTGTGTCACGTGGGTTTCACAGAGATCCAATGAATACATAAATGCAGTAGCTGTCATTCTGAATTTTAACTTTTTTGACATTTTTTGATTAACAAAATGTTGAATGCACTCAACTATTTAAGAGGACTAAGTGATTTCTTAAGTATAGTAACTTACATTAATCAGTGATTGGTTTTAGGGGTCACTGAAATGTGTTAAATGTGGTTAAGCAAAGATTGCTGCCCAAATATAATGAGTAATTTTTTTCCTTTTCTCTAGGGCTAGTTGCACATAGTGATCTAGATGAAAGAGCTATTGAAGCTTTAAAGGAATTTAATGAAGAAGGTGCATTGGCAGTGCTTCAGCAGTTTAAAGACAGTGATCTCTCACATGTTCAGGTAATGTTAAGCAATTTAGAATATAATTGTTGAGGGATAAACTGCTAGTTGACTGGCAAGAGGTTTGCTTAATTCTCTTCAGTGATCCATGTGTGATACGTAAAATGAGCAATGTATTAGTTCAAGGTAAAATTAGATTCTGGTTTGTCATGTTTTCAGAACTGCAGTTTAATATATCTTTTGCAGAACAAAAGTGCCTTTTTATGTGGAGTCATGAAGACATACAGGCAGAGGGAAAAACAGGGGACCAAGGTGGCAGATTCTAGCAAAGGACCAGATGAGGCAAAAATTAAGGTATGTGATTAAAAGATAAAAGTTATGCAGTCTGTGTGTGTTTTTTTCAAAGCTGTTGTGACAGATACCCCGGTTCTTTTGGAACTGTACTTTTCTTAAAAAGGCTATTTTAGATTATTTGTCGTTCTTGAAAGCTATCACTTGCATTTTTATCTTACACTTTATCCTCTTCAAGAGGAAAGTTAATATACTGTTAATTACTGTAACTGAATGTATATAAAAGTGAAAAAGGTTTGAAAGTTTGTATTATGTCTAGTTGAGACAGTTATACTATTTCACAGTTAAAAGTTTTGGGGAACTTGTCAGCATGGATCTTTGAGTTCAGAACGCAGAAACAGCTACTGGTGGTTGCTTTTTGTTTCTTCGTTGTTCTGTTTTTGTTTTTTTCTTTATTTTTTTGTTTTTCTTCAGGTTTAAAGCAACTCTGCAGTAGGGAGGAGATGCCATATGTGTCTGAAAAAAACCCAGATTGTAATGGATTTAGGATTTAGCCCACTTCTTATGACATACTCAGTTTTCATAAACTGTACCCCAAACTATCTTCGTAATAGACACATTATTTCTTGGACCGAGTCTTCTGCTAGCAAGAGACTTCTGTCTCAAGAATTAGGCATACGGTGATTTACCTTAAAAGTCTGTGATTAGCAAATTTACCAAAGCTTAAGGAAAGGAAAACCATCTAAGCATGATTAGTTGATGTCTTAAAAAGCGAGAGAATCTTTCATCTTTAACTTTTTATGTGTAAAGTGCAAAATGAATAGGTGATGTATTACAAATAACTATGTAACTTATGAAACTAGAAAATCTTTATCACAACTTTGAGGCTGGGGTGCCATTAATTATCATTTTAAAAAACTGATGCAGTTTTTGTTACTACCACATAAAACAACAACAACATGAGAACTTTGTTAACTAACTTGAAGTAGTATAGCTTTTACTGCTGATGGCTATAGCTTTAAAATAACGTAGCAATTTTCCAGTTGTGAAATTACTAACTCTTGATTATAATTAGGCTTGATTAATGTGCTGTTTCTTTGTGTGGAGAGTTGATCTGTCTCTGTACAAAATTATTAGGAAAGAATAATTTCAGAGGAGTTTCTCATATATTTGCATACTGAATTTCCTATAACATTTTAAATTGGTAGTGTATGTATAACTATGCAGTGATTCTTGTGAGGATCAGTTGTCTTGGGATGCTGTATGTGCCCACAAGGAATTGGGGAGGGGGCGGGGGGCGGGAGGATAGGAGAAAGGCAGTAGTAGTACCACTTCAGTGGCTGGATACCTGAAGCAGTCTGTACAGTGTTCCAGCAGTGTAAGCACTTAAACATGTGTTCGTTTACTTCACACTTATGAGTAATCTCATTAAGTGAAGGAAACTCCTGTGCATAAATGTTTGCGAGATTGGACATGCCAAAACAAGAAGTGGCTCAGACTAAGATCTTTCTAATTAAAGGGAAACTTGCTATTCTATTCCTTGGCTTTTTCTTTTTTTTTTATGAAAATGAAGGAATTGGGGAAAAATGTGTGAATCTCTAGCAGTATTTCTTTAACTGATAGTTCTAATAGTTGCTTGGGAAGTTTCTTGTTGAAGTATTAGCAGTAGGCTTGTTTGTCTATGGGAGTTTCAAAGCAGTGCAGTTTAAGAGGAATTATAGGCATGTCTCTGTGAATGAAGCGCATCTAAACTAGCTCAATTTGTATATGATTTTAAAATTTTAAGTTTCTTACTTGAAGGCACTCTTGGAGAGAACCGGCTACACTCTTGATGTGACTACTGGACAGAGAAAGTATGGTGGACCTCCTCCAGAATCTGTATATTCAGGACAACAACCTTCTGTTGGTACAGAGGTAAGGAGGAGGGGATGGTTATGTTGATGTATTCCTATTTCATTTAAAGTATGTTTTATAAACAACAGTCTGTCTGTCTGTTGTAGATATTTGTGGGCAAGATTCCAAGAGACTTGTTTGAAGATGAACTTGTTCCATTATTTGAGAAAGCTGGCCCTATATGGGATCTCCGCTTAATGATGGATCCACTAACTGGTCTAAATAGAGGATATGCTTTTGTCACTTTTTGTACAAAAGAGGCAGCTCAGGAAGCTGTTAAACTGGTAAGTTTTCTTACTTGGATTTTTTTTTTTTTTTAAGAACACTCTCTGGCTTATAAGCAGTTGTCCCGATCCTAATGCTTAAGGTGGTACTGTCATTGTTGGATTACTTCATAAATGTCCATGTAGGTGTTTTTTAATATTTCCACATTGTATATAAATTTTTACTGGCTGTATTAGGGACAGAGGGGAAAAAAAAAAAGCTGATGGACTGCTGTTTAGTCCAACTAGATGAGCCTTTATAATTAACAAAAGTTGTATTAGCAATAGTGACTTAGCTATCTGTGTCTGGATGAGTTTTGGAGAGAAGTTGTGTTTGGGTTGCTGTGGTACAAGGGAAGTGTTGGTCAGGTTGTCTTTGATTCCTGATTTGCTTGTGCACCAGCAGAGGGCCCTGTGCTTGAAAAATGCTTCTAAAGTCACAGAATTTCATAAGATACTTCAGATGGAAAATAATTACTCTTGAGTGTTAGAGTCCTGTTTGCTGCAACTGACTGGAAAAAGTCATAAATCCTGCCAGGTTAAACATCATTTCCTCTGTTTTACACAGAAGTGTGAAATAGTTTGATACAGGAGTAGGCTATTCTTAATAAGCTTTGCAGGTTTTATGCATGAAGTATCCATCACTAAAAAAGAGGGAAAGAAACACCACCTTTATCTTCCCACTGCTGCTTTGTTTTCCTAGTTAAATTGAATTTGATTTTTTTGAGCTAGTTACTGCTACACTTACATTGCCAAGATCACTGTGTGGTATGACACTTGAGTGCTAACCATACTAATTCTGGGGTGTACTGGTACTGTATTGATAAAATAGGGTTAAAATCTCTTGTTTTGTCATAAGGTACAACTTATACCATTAAGGTGCACTACTGACATGCTAATAATGTAAGTCAGTTGATAGAGATAAATCAAGCTGCAGATGGGAATGTGTTTTGGAAAAGTATAGAAATGTCTACAGAAGTGGGAAGTACAAAAATACCCGCTATATGCTGTTTAGCTTTTTAAATAAGAACAGTTGGTGTTCCTGTGTGCAATCCAAATATATTGAGGATAAGTGTGTATACCTCTTTGTACTTTCATTGTCAACCTAGCTATTTATATTGTGTGTGAACTCTTTAAGAGTTATGCACATGACTTAGCAAAACAGTGAATCAAATCAAATGTGTTCTGAGGCACCAGTAAATGAACAAAAAGGAATTTTTCTTCATTTAGCTGGATTTTGCTTAAAGGCAGCATGCTCTGAAAAGTCGCTCAGGTTGTGTTTCCATAAATGTAACATCAGATCCTAGCTTCAGTCTTCCACTAAATGATAGAAGGAAATGAGGTACTTGGTGTGTCCGTTTATATCTGGTCTTTGATATGCAGGAAAAAAAAAAAGTGTTCTGGTTTTCAGTTAAATAGCCACTGAGTGTAATAGATGAAAAGTGTTGCGATTGATGGAGCAGTTTTTCAGCCTTCATGCCTCTTTGAGGGCAAGGTTAGTTTTAAATTGGATCCTGTGGCATTTTTATCAGCTTTTGAATGGTTCCAGCCATACTTGACTGGTTAGTTTGGTGTACTGTAAGTTTCCCAAGTTGTCCAAGAGTGATTTGCAGGGGTACTAGCAAAATATGTCTAGAGTGATTTGCAAGGGTACTAGCAGAATATGGCTGTAGAGCTCAGTTGAAAATTGTAGGTCTATCACTTTTATTAGTTTACACGTGCATGGGAGAGCCTGCTGAATGACTTCTTAGAAATGCTGAACCCTTACTCCTGGTCCTAGCCATTGTAATATCCTAGCATTTTACCAGGAGGTGTTCTTTTTGATACTGCCTGTAATCTGCTGATATGTATACAACTTATTTCCCAGCTCTCTGGACTCCCTGGGATAGGGGTGGTTCTGTTATTTCCCGTCATCTTCCTAGAGGCTTTTTTGTTTTCCATTCAAGACTCTGGAAAAATGAGAATAAACAAATCACTGCATTGCATGTAGGCTTCTGAGTAATAAGAGAGCTAAGAGGTTTTGTCAATACCCAAACTCTAGCAGAGAATAAACTGACCTGTCTTCAGGCTCTTGCAGTTGCTGTAACATACTTTGCATACAATTCGTATTTGCATGGCTGTTGTGTCTTCTACAGTTGCTATAAAAACTTAATGTAAAATTGAACTAAAATTTTTGGATAAACTTAATGTTGACTTACCCTGTTCATTAACCAGAAGAAGTCTTGCAATTTAAAAGGCTGAAGCCTTGATTTTGTTACTGCATATGCGTTTTTAAGCCACTTAAAAGGGGAGAGTTCCCTAAATTGTGTTTAAAATATTTTTGTAGCTGTTCTTGGGACAAAAATGGAGTGATCCTATGGCCTGATACTGAGAGGGCTTTCAGATATGAACAGCAGTAGTTAGTTTTATGTCCAGTATTTAATCCAGTGTGGGTGACCTTCACTGGTTAAGCAGAACTGGCATCTTGAATGTCTACACAATCGCTGACTATCAGAAGTCTGATTTTTATTTTTTTTTAAACCCCAGGCATTTTTTTCCCTAACATGTTTGTGTTTACCTGGCATCTTATACCATTTGAGTTAAGAATTATAACTCCAGTTGTGTTCTTCTGCATGCGTGTTCAGTTCTCCTTCCTATTTCATATGAAGATGTTATATTTCAGTTTTTTCAAAGATTTCTGAGTGGTTAAGGTTACAGTAGACATATACAGGATAAATACTTGTGAGGTGAAGCTTGTATGAGAGCATGCTGAAAACTGTCGTAGGATACAGGGTATTTTTGATTAGATCAAGTGTAAGCTTGATCAAAGTGCGGGTACAGGTGAGTTTTGCAAATATGTCCCTTAAGCAGTTTGCCAGCTATGCAGAGCAGTACAACTTGCTATTTGCTGCTGTAAATAAACTTTCACCAGCAATTTTAGTTTAAGTGGATAAAACGACAGGACAGACCTTATGCATACTTTGACCTGTTTGAGTGGGTTCTTACAGAATTTAGAAAAAAAAAAAAAAAAACCCAAAACAAAACAACAACAACAAAAAAAAAAAACAACCAAACAAAAAAACCCCAACAACAAATCTATCTATTATGTCTAGAGGATAGTAATATCTCTGTTACTAACTTTGGGCATTGATTCAGTGGTGACAGGAGGGGGAAGCAGTATGCTGACATAGCTAATTTGGAAGACTGGCTGTTCTGGCACTTTACCCAGATCATGATTTGGGCCTGTTCATGTCTAATCTAAGTTTACAGATGGTATGCAAACTATTTACCTAAAACCCATGAACTTTATATTCAAGAGCACCTAAATCAAGACTGGTTTCTCTTGTGTTAAGAGAAGTCATACAATGAAAAGTAATTGTTAATGTATTGTAGTGTGAAAAGCTACTATAAACTAGTGTCAATGTGAAATTGCAGTATGGTATAATGCTTTAATTTTTTCTTGTTATGAAATATTACTTGGTTGCCATGAGTTATAGGAGAGGCTCTTTTCAGATTAAATGTATAGCCAAACTGTGATCTTAGACTTTAACAGGGACAGTTGGTTAGTATCTTCCATTATGCAAATAGAACAGAATATTTTGGTTGGAAGGGACCTGCAGTGATAACATAGTCCAACCGCCTGACTACTTCATGGCTGACCAAAAGTTAAAGTAGTATTATTAAGGGCGTTAACCACCTCCCTAAGAAGCCTTCTCCAGGGTTTGACCACCCTCTCAGTAAAAAAATGCTTCCTAATAGACACTATTAATGAAGGAATCAGTTTGTGTCTTGTTTTCAGACTAATAAACCATCAGTTTCTTTAAAGGATTTTTTTGAGCTGTTGTAGTCTGTCTCTTCATTAACGTGCATAAATCTGTTTATTAGTGAACATAATAGCATATATATAGTCTTCTTATGCAACTGTTTCCTACTTTAAAATCAACTATTACTCTGCCACGTGGTGCAACAGATATGGAGATAGAAGTCTTTTACTGTATCCTACTGTGTTTTGAGACATAATTAGTTGGGAAGATGCCACTCCAGTTCCTTTTCACATATACAGTTCTCCTTTTAGCTCACTTTGTGCAGTTGTCTAGCTTTGAAAATTTTCGGTGATGTATTGTTTGTTTGCACAAGGTAAATATAAATAAACATCTTCATGCTGATTTTAGTGCACAAAGCAAGGAGTGTGGGAGAACTTGCTTATGCAGGATGGTTTACTACTAAACACAAAATAACTCGTAGAATAAATAGCTAGATGAAATTTTAAAAAGCTATCCTGATACTTGTCAATAAGATGTTGACCACAAAATACATTTTCCTAGCTAAAAAACTGTCTGTTGCAGGGCTTCCAGTTGGAAAGGGGTTGATGTACCACCAGTTGACCTCTCTTCTGCTTATTTGGATGGTGCATATCTGTGTCTGCATCTCAATGAAAGGCATTTTTTGTCAACAGATGTCTACAGTAATACTTTTTTTTTTTCCTTAAACTGCTGACTTGTTCAGGGTGTCTTCTAAACAATCTGTTATGGGAAAAGCATTTGAACAGAAGTTTCAGGATTTCAAGTCAGTAGAGGGTTTTTCTTCCTGTTTACTATCTTTACATGTGTAATCTATGTGCTTTGGAAAGTATTTGCCAATTGCTCTTAAACATTTTATGGAGAAGACCTGAACATGGCTCGCTCTGTTTTGTTAACTGTGAAACTTTAGAAGGGAGCCTGACTTTAATTGTAACTCCTGTGTTGTATTATACACAAATCAAGAATTCATAGATGCAATCTATAGAGGAACTTGCATTTTTTTTTTTTTTTTTTTTTTTTGCACTGTAGTGAAGGGAGAAGCCTTGACCTTGATGACTTGGACATAAGATTTACCTTTCATGGTTCCACATGAAAAAGTCTCTCAAGAAGCATGTATTAAGAAAGCAGCTTGAACAGGAAGGGAAGAGTAATTGTTGGCTGAAGTTGTGAAGCTATCTTAGAAAACATGAGTATACTTTAGAACAGTTGAATACGCATTGTAAGAATGTGTTACGCTCCAAATAATTTGATATATTACTCAGTGCTGTATTTGCAAAAGTGAAATACTTGGTATGCTGCTGTTGGAGGGGAGTGAGAATTATCTGTAATTGATGATTGTCCAATTATTTTTCTTTCAGTACAACAACCATGAAATTCGTTCTGGAAAACACATTGGTGTATGCATCTCTGTTGCCAATAATAGGCTTTTTGTTGGTTCTATTCCTAAGAGTAAAACCAAGGAGCAAATTGTTGAAGAATTTAGCAAAGTAACAGGTAAGTCAATAACTATGTTTGTAGAGCTGGAAAGATGTCAGACATGATCGGTGATGAGCTCTCTTCACCATCTTTTGGCCTATGGTTATATCATGAATCCAAACAAAGACCACTTAGTGTTTGTCCAGACTTTTAGGTGGTTGTTGGAGTGTTGTTTTGTTTTGTTTTGTTTTTTAACTGTGTTAAGGTGGCTGTGTTGAGAGCTGGAATATTTGTAATTAGAGTAGGTATGTGGTTCAAAGTTTTACCTAGAGAATAAGTGTGTAATAAATATAGAAAGCCATTCAAATAAATAGATGGTTTAATTAATTTCAATACTAATGGGTGTTTTAAAACTTTTCAAGGCAAAACTGAAGCAGGTTGCAGAATGTAACTAGTTCAGTGCTTCAGAATTCTTAGTGATTTAATAAGGATCTTTTTTTGATAATGGCATATAAACTGGCAAAGGTAATGTGATGGCTTTCTCTGTTACTGAATGGTATACTTCAGCTTCCTTGTAGCAGCACTGGAACTTCTTAGATGTCTTCAAATCATGCAAGTTTGATCTCTTGTTTAGACATCTGTGGAAAAAACCCATGCTGATAAGTGGTGTGACATAGGGGTTTGAGAGAACTGACAAAGCACAACTTTTGGCTGCCCTTATCTCTTCTCCATTCAGTTAGAGGAAAGGTACTCTTCATAGCTAAGCTTCCTTCACTTGATAGAAATGGAACCTAAGTCGGGATAGTCTAATGATGATTTATTATGTACATGGTCTCAAAAGTCTAGTGTGTTCATGCTTTTTTGAAACCACTTGTCAGATGCATACTTGCCAGAAAGATAATCCCTACTTTATTATACAAATTTATGGATTGAAGCCATAACAAATAAATATTTTGCTTAATTTCAGAGGGTCTTACAGATGTCATATTGTATCATCAGCCTGATGACAAGAAAAAGAACCGGGGTTTCTGTTTCCTTGAATATGAAGATCACAAAACTGCTGCTCAGGCCAGACGTAGGTTAATGAGTGGCAAAGTGAAGGTCTGGGGAAATGTTGTTACAGTTGAATGGGCTGACCCTATAGAAGACCCAGATCCTGAAGTCATGGCAAAGGTAATAAAGCTATAATGGAACCATACTATGTTTAAAGTGCCTTGTTGCAAAGTAAGTACTTCCTGACACTAGCCTAAATTTAAATAGCATTTTTCAGCTTTCTTGACAGAGGTGTTGTAGGTGAGTTGATAAAAATATGAGTGCATGCTAAAATCGGTGTAAAAGCTCTGTTGATGTTATTTTGTGCTCCCAAGACTGAATGTTAAATATAATTCTTGCCAAAATGATACATAGGCCTGATATATTTAATTTTTCATCTGGAAGTGGTGGTGGTGACTCCAAAATTTAGAATGGTTTTGTAACTTAATATTTGGAGGGAAGGAAATGTAGATGCATTCACAGAAGAAGCCTTAATTCTTTTTAACCCTGGGACTTTGTATGTCACTTCAGAATTGGAACAAGTCAGTAAGATGCACAAAAGATTTTCAAAGTTGCCTTTAGCAGTTACTTCTGAGAAATTGCTTTGTATTTGGAACTTTGTATCATTATTTTTAATTTGGGGGGGGAGTTAGATCCTTAAAATGCTAAGGCTAGTAATATTTTCAGTTTTGAATATTTCAGTGAAACTGAAGTCTGGACTGTTAACATTTTGAAGTATGTTGGAGCAGTTGTTATATATGTGTGTGTGATATTTTGCCAGAAACGCATTACGTGATTTTTTTTTTTTTTTCATCAAATAATGGCCAACCCTGTCTTTTTCAGTTATGTTGTGTAGCTGAGTTGTTTAATGGAAACTTCTAGCTAGTCCATATCCTTATCTCTTTCTCTTTGCTTGCTTTTTGTCCGTGCTTTTACTCTCATCTGAGACACGTCACTTGCTGGAGTCCTACTTTGATGGACCTAGTAAGATAGCTTGGCTGGGATCTCCTCTTTGGTGAGCCATAAGGGAAAAGGGTTGGGGTGGGGGCTCATTTTAGGGAAAAATCTGCTTTTGTAATACAGGTATTACAGAAGCTTTTGGACTACCCTGTCTGCAGACTTTTTTTTTTTTTTTTTTTTTCCCCCAGCATTATAGATTAGCAGTGGCAGGGAAGAGTCTTGCAGGTAAAATTTGTTGAAGGTGGCACTTCCAAAATATGACAGACTATCTATCTGTTCAGCTTCTTGGCTCAAAAGAGAAGAGACCTAATCCAGCAAATTTAAAATAAATGAGCAGGAACTTATGCTGACATGACTGAGTAGATGAGCAGGAGGTGATAGGGGACAGAGTCAGGTATCTCCTAAATAAGTTTACAGATGTGGAGAGTGAAGGGTTAAAGAAATTTGAACCTTGATAGTGGATTGCCCCATTTAATAGAGTTTTTTGAATGTGTTAATGCCTTGTATTCTTTTGTATTTGAAATGGGACATGGAAAGGGAAGAAACGTAAATATGGAAAAAATGCAGAAAATAGGCAGAAAATCAGCTTGTAACTTGCAGTGCCACATGCTGAGGGTAGGGGATGGAGCTTGGTTTGAAGAGGTATGGAAAAGTGAGGCTGTGGATGAGAATACTGAAAAGTTAGAGAAGGGCTAGCTTGTGTCTGAAGGCAGAAGTTGGGACAAGCGTTTATGTCTGACCTTTCTCACTGGCTTAGTTTATTCTTGCAACAAGGAAAGTCTACTCAGTCTTTCTTGCCCATTGAAATATGACTATATTTGGAGAAACTGACCATGTCTGGCACTTCTGGAAGTGTTAGGTGTACTTTCTGTTTTGTTTTGTTTTTTTTTTTATTGCTGCCTTTCTCCTAAGGGAAAGAGCAGCTGAGCTGCTGCTGTAGTCAATCTCCCAGATGTGAACTGTAGGTTTCTGTCATTGCTTCTGAGTACTGTCAGTTGGGAACAAAGGGAGAGCTATTGACCCTTGTCATCTTACACATTCCTGTAGTAGAAGACTCTGGAGGAAACACTGTGAGTAGGAGTAGGTTGCTTTTATCAGAATAATCATCTGATTGGTGGTTTTCTTGTCAAGACTTCTAGAAAAGCAAGTCCATAAGAGCAAACTATGAGGAAGACAAATTCACCTTTGTAGCAAGAAGGTGAACAGCATTGTTCTAAATACCTCTCAGAAGCAGCATGTTGTTTCGTCAATATATGGACACCTACCAATTTAAATTTCTGAAATGTTTGCTTGAGCTTTTTTCCTTTCTTCTTCAGACTTTTGCTTAAATATTGTGGAGAGTACTGTATGGATGCGTACTTAAAATTTAAATGGGTTGCTACCTTAAAGTACCTTAAGTGGGATGAGTTAGAAAGCTAGACATATGTTCTACAGGAGATTAGTGCTTGAGCTGACAGATCAGGGTATAATTGGTTAAGTAATTGATTCCTGCTCGGAAGTGAACTTTTTTCCAACTTCCAGTAGCTAGCTGTGTTGATAGCTTAATTTCTCCTAAGTGTTATTTTGATGCCTCTTACACCTGTAGCGCAGATAAATTTCTAAAGGTTTTACTTGGTTTCTGTAGCTTGGCTGAAGCTACAGAGGACATTCTGGAGTGGCAGGTTAAGCAGCTAAGCAAAGTCTTATGCTTGTGGCTACCTAGTAGATTACAGGAGAGGAGACTGGTCTAATAACCCTTGGAGAATGCGGTAACAATGTCTGAAGTGTTTGTGTTGTAGGTAAGAGGAAGGAAAGGGAGCAGATCCCAGAAGTTTTGGGGTTAGTGTAATCTTAAGCAGTTTTAAAAATGAGTTCTGCCTTTATGACCAAATGCTGCTGCTGGGTATATTGCTAGTTAGGTGTATATTTATAGGTCCTTGGTGTTATAATCTGTGAGCCTTCATGAAGAGGACTTGCTTTTTGGTTGTTTATTTTCCTTCCCTTTTAGATAGCTTAAATGAAGTAAAAGTGGGTTCACGTTTTCTCAACCTATGCATTAACTACCCTCTTAGCTTTGACTATTCTTTGACTGGTTCAGCTATGCTTTTAACCTGTAAAATGACCAAAGGTGTTTAAAAAATGTCAGCTGTTAGAGATAAATGGATTTGTCTACATTGGAAAAAATTTAAATTAGTTGCTTTTTATTTCTTTAAAAAAATGTTGTTATTGCATCTTGTAATAAAAAAGTGATGATTTTTGAGGTTTTTAATCGTCTGACACTGACAGTCATTGTGGATTTATTGGTGAATGCTACTTACAGTTCCTCATGTGATTCTAGTCTTCATCCTTTTCTAAAGTACAGAAATCAGAAACATTTGTTTGGAAGTTACCGGTTTTTAAAACTGATGATTACCTCACAAAACATCCTGTAATTCATTTTCATGAAATGAGGGTAAGGTAGTAATTAGGACAGTTTACTAAAAATGGTTATTACATACCGAGTATAAGAAATAAAGGTTGCTCTTGCCATCAAGGCATGTAGGAGAAGTTTAACACAGGATAGGAAGCTGATTTCTTTGTGGAGTTGGCTATGGCACTTATATCCTGAGAATCACCAAGAGTGCAGTTGCTGAAGACTAGAGGTGATAGACCGTGTCAGATTTATGATCTGTAGTATTCCTTCTTCCAAACTCTGCATCCCATTCCAGTTCAGTTAGAGGGTGAGACAAAGATTTATAGAAGTCTCTCCTGATTATTTGTAACTTAATTACACAGTAGTTTTTATAAAAAGGGTGTCTGGGTTTATTGTGTTCCTGTATGTGGTGTGAGTAGAGGTTATAGTCCTGCTTCAAAAATTGAAGTATGCTTTCATTGGTCCCTTCACACCCTTTGTTATTTGTGTTGACCTTCAGGATTAGGAGCAGGAAGTCATTGCTGCCATGTACAATGTTCACTTTTTGTCATCAGCTAATTTGAAACCACCAGTAGCAGAGGGGATATGAACAGAAGTTGCAGGTCTTTGCAGCTGATGTGCAGCTGCATTGTAGGAAGGTAAGACTGTGGGCATTCTTTGGCAGTAGGAGGTGACTAGACTGTTAGAGCATGGTGGCAGCATATGGAAGAGACTCTTTCCAAGTCAGAGAGGCTTGACAATTGTGAGAACTCATGGATGACATCATGTAAACATGCTAATGTACTGTACACAAGGATGAGTCTTTGCATACTAACGGGTCACTAATAAGTGTGATTCCTGGTGCCCAGTGTATGTTGTCTGTGGTACTAAATAAGAGTGTAGTTGAAGCCTTTGCCAGACTGCTCTGTATTTTCTTTTATCGTAAGGAGTTGATGGTTGATGAAACTTTATATTGATGATTTGGTCACTGTCAGTCAGTTAACAGGTCATGTATCAACAGTTGAAAGGTAACCAACCCCTCTGATCTTGTAAGTAGCATAGCACTCTGCAGCTTAAGAGCCATACTGCATGCTTTAGAGAGCTGGCTGAGGGAATAGACTTACTTGGAGGTGGCTGCTCCTCAAGGGAAGGACACAGTTTGACTTGTGAGAAAGTCCAAGGGTGACCTGGCAGTGTCAGACTCAGTATCCCCTTCCATCTGTGTTCCCTCTTCTAGATGTGGCTGCGAGTCACGGAGTGCTCCTCAGGCAAGCACAGTCCTGATGCTGGGTATTTATTTGGTGTAGCTATAGCATGGGAGCCATAAGTTAAGCAGCTTGAGAGCTGCAGCCCTGTCACCTCTGACCTAGATATTATAGTGATGACTGTTCTGCAAATACCTGAGCAAAAACCTGTCTAAACAATGAAATGTTTTGATAAGTTAATTATTTTGTGTGTAGCCAAGCCTGGTTGCCTTTTTTCAAGTTTGAAAGTGTTCTGAGTTGAAAATTACTGCTGCTAGGATTCTTTTAAACATTAACACAAATTGGATTAACTTTCAGGATACTCACACATAATCATGTTTGAAAAGAGATTTAATGTTTCTATTGGTCAGGGAATTTTGGAGCTAACTCATGCTGTATGAATATATAAAATATATGTATTCATGTATATCCGTATAAAATGCTGCATATAAAAATATAATGATGTTTTCAGTGCTGCCAACAGCAGTGACTTGTAAAGCTTCATTTTGTGTTTTGGAAGGTCATATTTCTAAGTATTTTTTATTTTATTTTTTAGGTAAAAGTTTTGTTTGTACGCAATCTTGCCAATACTGTAACAGAGGAGATACTAGAAAAGGCCTTCAGTCAATTTGGAAAGCTAGAGCGAGTGAAGAAGCTAAAAGACTATGCTTTCATTCATTTTGATGAACGGGATGGCGCTGTAAAGGTAAGTGAAGAGGATTGTAACTCTGTGTGTGTAACCAGTGAACATAACATTTAGAAGCTGTATACTCCTTTTAACTTGGGAAAAAGCTCTGGAGAAATGGTAACACATTGTCACTCATAACTTTGTCTTCTCTGGCTGTCTCTTGGGAAGACACACTTGCTAGCTTGAAAAGTGGATCTTAGATGCACCTATCCTATGTAATTCTGCTGATGAGTATCTAAGATAATCATATGTGTTACCATTTGAAGCTGAAGTGCCAGAAGTTGAATGAAATCTCCCCAAATTATTGGTAGAATCTAAAGCCATTTTTCTAGGATAGGTGATAAAAACTTAGGTAATCTTTTTGTTTTCTAGAAACAGAATGATTTCCTTTTTAAGATGTGGAATAAGCACTTTTTTCTTTTTGATGACAGGTGCTGGACAATTGAGTAATTGTCATTCCTGGATTTTGCTAGTCTGGTCTTGGTGGTTTTTTTTCTCCTGTCATCTGTTAGGAAGGGAGAGTACAATTCCTTTGCTGCCTATAGTGTATCTATTTTTTATGTTCTGTAGAAGGTTGCAGGATACAAGGGGATACAGTTTTTCTTACTCATCCAGATGCCTTAAAGCAGATGATTAAGAAGGTGATAGAAAGTGTTTTCATAGGATATGTATCCTGTCAGGGCTTAGCTATGTAGAGTCCCTAAAAGTGGTAGAATCTTTAGGATTCCCCTGCTTGAGCTTAACTTGTAGCAATTACTGTGACCCACAGGAATTGTACGTGTGTGTGTTTGTGGGGTTTTTTGTTGTTTTTTTTTTTTTTTTGGTGGTGGTTTGTTTTGGGGTGTTTTTTTGTGGTCAGAATAAGACTTAAATTCTAATTTTTGGCTTCTGGTTTAAGAAAAAGTTAAATTTATTACAAGGAATAAAGACATATACTGATCTCTAGCTTTTAGTAGTGTTTGCGTGTGTGCTGACATTAAGAAATTTATTCCCGTATTGCAAAATCTGTACTTTCAGAGGACATTTCAGTCACTTCATTAATTGAAACAGCTTGCAAAGATTGAAGCCTATTTACAGTTTTGAGTGGAAGATTCCTGAACTGATACATGCAGTCCTGGGTTTTAGAGCCAAGTTAAGAGGAAATGCATAAATCTGGAACCCACGATACTATGCTGTCTGACTATTTAAAAAAATTTTTTTAGTTTTATGTTGTTGTTTTAGCTCAGGATAACAAATTTTACAATGCATACTCTAAAAGATAGAATAAAATTAATAACTTCAGATATGCTTAGAAGTATATTTAAAGTCTGGTTAATTCCTTCAGGCAATGGAAGAAATGAATGGCAAAGATTTAGAGGGAGAAAACATTGAAATTGTTTTTGCTAAGCCACCAGATCAAAAAAGGAAAGAACGGAAAGCTCAGAGACAAGCGGCTAAAAATCAGATGTAAGTGTAAATGCATGCACATATGTTGTATTACTTCTGAAAGACATGTACACTCCTACAGAATTAGAGCTTACGGGTGTTTCAGTAGGTATACTATAGTGTTATACAGGTTTTTTGGCTTCTCTGAAAATGTTGGATTCATTTAAGTTGCTTGCATTTTACTTAAGATCTGGTAGTGGCATCGGTGAGTTTTCAGGTACTGTTTTGCTCTGCTCACTGAGTGTAAGAGCATCATAGGAAATGTTTGAAGGTCATGAAACATACACATCTCTCACTCTTTATTCTAAACTTTGATGTACTTCTGCACTGATACGTCATGTGGATGAATTTAGCAACATGTGTTCTTCCCAGTGGGCTTAGCGGTACTGATACAGCCTCCCCCTGTTTAGTAAAGTACTCTCTTAAAGGAGAATCCTGACATTCTTTTTTGCCACTTCCTGCTCATGAAGCTTATAAACTCATACTAACAGAGATCGTGCACTAATAAATGCTGAACATGGCAAAAAGAAGAGGCGTTTCTTGCTAGTGTGTTCTCTTAATGTTCTCATGTGTTTTTCTTCTTGGATATCATGTAGCTATCCTAACCATCTTCCCTCCCCCACCTTATTTCCAAAAATAACTTCTGCTAGTGCTGCTGTGCAGCATCCAAGAAAATGGAATAGTGAGGTTACCAGATTAATATACATCTCCAGATGGTGACCTACTGTACACATGGAATTGGTTAAGTTTGCCCTGCTTCTAGTTCTTGTAACTTTCTTGGCCCTTTTGTTCTTCCTTGGGCATCTGGTGTTTCTGTAAGAAATGGATTTCTTCTTTTTTCTTTTGCTTCTCTTAAATGCCAGACAGGCCTTTTCTGTTCTGCTTAAATCTTTTGGTGATACAACTTCATTTTGGTTTGTATATTCTTTATCTTGGGAAGACCACCGTAAATACCTGTTTATTTAACTAAAATATAAAATGCTGTTGAAAGTTGCACGATTAGCTTTTCAATACACACAGTTGTCTGCATGGTTGTGTTGTGTCTGGTTGGAGATACGCTTTCTCTCATTGAATTTGAGTAATACCAAAAAACCATTCTCATACTGCAGAATACAAACAGTTTTGTAAGCTTGGTATTCAGGATCTAATAATGGCCCATTTCCAGTGATGAAAAGGAAGATTTTCTTAAAATGCACTTGATCAGTTATAATGCTGTATGATTTTTTTTCCCACCCCCACCCCTCAACTGTTCTCTGCAGATTATCTGAGACCCAGATTTATTACTTCTGGATAGCATGCATGTATTTATAACACTGGAAGTCTTCTGGCATGTGTCACCTCTAATATTAATATGCTGTATATTATCTGCATCCCTGCCCCTTTTATTGTTTAGGATGTGCATGTCTCATTTTGTGGAGGTAGGTAAAGTAGGGCTGCCTCTCTTGTTCTTCTAGTCAGAGGTACGGTAATGCCACTTGTTCAGTTCTTTCTGGTTTTCATTTGGGAATTCGCCATGTTCCTTCATTATTTTGAACTGCTAAGGCAGTAGGAAAGCAGCTTGTTTGATTAAACTCTTAAGCATTTTTAGGTTTTGAATATACTGTTTGTTAGTGAATTGTAAGGGCTTTTAATTTCCTTAGGGTTCCAAAAGATGAAGAAATAGAAGGATATGTGTGTTGCTGTGACTGTGTCCTAGTTATTTGAGAAGTTCAGAGTGACATTTTAAGATCTTGGAGATAAATGTAGTACAAACTACAAATTAC